CTGATGTTAGGACATCAGATAGGACTTTTAAGTTGTGCTTAGGACACCGAAACAAGTAACGTGATGTTAGAATAAAAGATACAGTATGTGAAAGGTTTATAGCTAGTGAAAATGCACTTTTTTCTTTTTTGCTTCTTCTTCTTTACACTTAATATAAAGAAAACTGAGCTCTGGTGTTGCAATGTAAGATCTGGACTGGTAACCACAAGGTTGGTGGTTCAAACCCACCAGCCACTCTCAGAAACCCTATATGGGATTGTTATGAATTGGAACCAACTAAATAGCACAAAGCCACTACCGCCATAAAGAAAGCTTCAGTTGTGGAGAATCAAAACTTAATATAGCATCTGTATTTTCACTTAGCTAACTTTAAATGTCTACTGTTTACGTGCTTTTAAGATTTCAAACCCACAAGGTAACCGAAATTGCCAGCCTCTGTTCAAAAGGTAATGGCTCTCAGACACATTTGTTTCATTACAATTTGTAGGTCTCCCTCAAAACTATATATTTAGTATTCCACATGAAAACTGCATTTGCCGGACAAAACCAAACCGAAAACAAAGCTTATTCTTAGTCAAAATAATAGAGTTCTCTGAACTTCTCAAACTTGGAAGCGATACTTAACCAAGTTTAATATGATCATTCCTTTATGGATTTATCTGATTTTACTAAGCTCGGAAGTTAGTTTTGTTTCTCCTTTGAAACATTTTTGTTACTGGTCAAGATTGGAAAGAAAGCCAGCCAGGAAAGAAAGAGCTGCAAATTCACTAATGAGCAATTTAGAAACGCTCGTTCCCAAAGCAACTGCTTGCAAAGAGCTCAAAATTGATTGGGAAATAAAAATATATTTATGCTTTCATGTATATCTTTGAATACCAATCCTGTTTGTATTCTGCATATTAGAGCATGAACAAGACCATTTGTAATACACACATACACATATAACAATAACCACAAATCCATTCATTTTTATATTACTAGATTTGACTTAAATGCCACATTTTTTAAGGTGTTCTGTTGGTGCAGAAGTTAAGTAAGTCCTTGGATTCTAAAGGAAAGACCAGCAGTTGGAACCCACTGGTCACTCCTTGGGAGACAGATGAGGCCATCTGCTTCTGTAAAGACAATCCTAGAAACCCTATGGGACAGTTCTACTCTGTCACCGGGAAGTCAGAATAGATGGTATTTCTTATGGTTTTGTAATTGCAAAAATGGTACCGGGGTCATGTCTGACTTTCTCCGGCTTCTCAAGGGGTTAGGATATTCAAACTCAAAATGAGCCCAAGGCAGATTCCTATGCCATGGAGGTCAGACGTGCCTCCACCCCACAATCTCCTTTACCCTCTTCTCACACCAACCATCCCTCCTCCCGTAGCACCCTCTGCTTCACATCTGGGCTCAATAATCCATTGCAGTGGTCACACAGAACTCACAGACAATACTCATGATTCTGGGTTTATGAAGGAAGAGAACAGGGTACAATTCAGGTTCAGAAACCATTCAGGATGCCTCAGCCTTTCATCAGGAACGCCTCTTCTCTGCCTAACTGCAGAAATGCCCCACTTCTGTCTTCAGCTACTCGGCCATTGTAGTACCCAGGCCTCTGCCCTACTCTGGCAAGTGTTACAAAGCTCCTTAAACAAGTCTGTGAATGCCCACAGAGCTCATTCTGCAAGCCTGTCTCCTGCCCACAGGCACTCAGTTCTACTGGGTTCATGGGCCACCAGGAAGTCCCATGCTGATGTAGCCTCGCAGCTCCAAGAATCTCATACTCTGCTCAAGGCTCTTCTTGCTTGATGGTCTTGGGATCATCTCTTCCTGCTTGTAAGATGACACTTTTTACACCTACCAGGATGGCAAAACTAACCAATTCCAGCGTTTGAGTCCAGCGCATGCTATGTATATGGTCTCACCTAGTTGTTTGGTGGGAGTTGCAAAGACCATGTTGTTGTTGTTAAGTGCCTTCGAGTCAATTCCGACCCATAGCGACCCTGTATAGGGTTTCCAAGGAGCAGCTGGTGAGCTTAACTCACAGTGCCACACCAGGACTCAAAGACCATGTTAGAAGAGACAAAATAAGTACATTCACTGCCCCACAGTAATTTTCTTTGTAACCAGACATCTCTGTCTCGGCTTAAATTGTCTTCCTAAATTCTTCGTCTTTTGGGAGACTATTATCTGTGGAATTGTTTTCCTGATTGCTTTTTCAGAGATCTGTTAATGTGGAGGAATCCAACTGACTTGTTTGTTGAACTTGGCCTCTGCCACTTTGCAGAACCCTTCTATTAGGTCCAGCAACTTTCTTGTTGAGTGTCTAGAATTTTCTATGTACAGGATCGTATCATCTGTAAATAAAGTCTGAACTTCTTTGCCAATATAGATGTTTCGTGTTTCTGTTTCTTGTCCATTAATCTGACTGGTGGTGGCAATATGCCGTGGAGTTGATTCCGACTCATAGCGACACTGTACAGGGTTTCCGAGGCTGTAAATCTTTACGGGAGCAGAACGCCTCATTTTTCTCCTGCGGAACAGCTGGTAGTTTCGACTGCCAACCTTGAGGTTAGTAGCCCAATTCGTAACCACTACGCTACCACTGAAAACCTTCTGATAACAAACAAGGATTGTGAGGACGGGCAGGACTGGGCAGTGTTTCCTTTAGTTGTCCATGGGGTCGCTATGAGTTGTAACGGACTCAACTGCACCACCAACAACATGTGTACTCAGATTTTTGTCTTAAATATATCCAACAGGGCCTGAAACAGTCCTGAAAATGCACTGGACTGCAAAGTCAGTTTGAACTGTAAGGTTGGCGGTTCAAGCTCACCAGCTGCTCCACGAAAATCCTATGCAAGGTTGCTATGAGTCAGAAGTGACTTGACAGAACTTAACAACAACATACTGAAGAATAGCTACAGAGATGCTATGCCTGATATCACACGGAGTCCCAGCATCAGCCCATTTTAAAGCCCAGGATACTGAAAGCCTAACATTTACTTAACACACTAACCAGTGAGAGACCTCCACCAGGAAGTGCTGGGGACCCACACTCATGGGTTTCCTGCTGTGTGCTGATGACTGGTCAGCAATCTATGAATGACAAAAAGAAAGGTCTTCTTTACAGATGAAAAAGGATTCCCTTTAAAAGTCACTTTAAAGAAAGAAAAATTGAGTGTTCCTTTTCTAACAGGAAGACTTTGATGCTTTATCCAGAACAAAAAGATACATTAGCTCTCTGCAAATAGAAACATCTTCAAACCGTCAGAAAATAAAGCAATACAGTGTTTACAAAACAGGAAGGATCCAAAATGTATCCAAGAACTGCAAAATATGCTGGCTATAAAACACTCGTTAGAGCCCTGGTGTGGTGCTGTAGGATAATGCACTGAACCTCAACATTGATTTGAATTGCAAGGTTGGCAGTTCAAACTCAACAGTCACTCCTTGGAAACCCTATACAGGGTCGCTATGAATTGGAATTGACTCTACAACACTTAACAACAATAACAAAACACTCATCTTTTGTTGTTGTTGTTAACAAATAGTACTTAAAATGCATTAAATTGAGTATATTTAAAGTACTTCTGGGAGCAGCCTATGCTTGGTGTTGTTGTTGTGGTTTTTAAGTGCAATCGAGAGGGTTCTGACTCATAGTGACCCCTATACAGGACCTCCAAGAAGTGGCTGGTGAATTTGAACCGCCGACCTTGTGCTTCTAACCAGCCTTTTGGCCCAGCATATTACCCCACAGCGAGGTTCATAATAATACACATATTATCAAAGAAATGTTCAAACCCTTATTTAGCAAAGAACAACTTAACACACTTTTGGCCTCTCCCTCCTTGATCAGCAACATTTACTATAGGAGAAGGCAGGCCTGAAACATTAGCATTTTATATTATCAGTGCTTTTATTATTCATTCTTTTTAATCCACGTGAAGTTGAAAAATTACATTATTCTGGTGTGGGTTAATGTGCTGGACTGCAAAGTCTATTGGAACCACAAGGTCGACACTTCAAGCTCACCAGCTGCTCCTTGGTAACTCTATACAGGGTCATCATGGGTCAGAACTAACTCGATGGCACTTAACAACAACAATGAAAATCTGCTGCTGCCATCGCTATGTACTGTCAAGTTGGTTCCAACTCATAGCAACCCTGACTCATGGTCTCCGAGGCTGTAAATCATTACAGGAGAAGTAAGTTCCATCTTTCTCCTACACAATGGCTGGTGGAGTCACTGCCCAATGTATACCCCACCATGCTGACAGGGCATCTAACGATCAACAGTAACATCAAAGCACCATTCGTCCTTGTGTGGGTTCTGACCAATCGCCACCTCACATGTATCACAGTGGAATTATGCTCCACATTGGTTTTACGTTTTGGGAGGTAAATCAACAGACATTTTGTCCAACGTGCCGCTGGACAGACTTAGACCGCTAACTTTTCACTTAGCAGTTGAATTGTTAGCCATTGATACTACCCAGGGACTCTACCATGTACACTGTTGTTGTTAGGTGCCATGGAGTCGAGATCAACTCATAGCGACCCTATGCACAACAGAACGAAACACTGCCCGATCCTGGGCCAACCTCACAATTGTCACTAAGCTTGAACCCATTGATGCAGCCACTTTGCCAATCCATCTCGTTGAGGGTCTTCCTCTTTTTCTCTGACCAAACATGAAATCCTTCTCCAGTCACAAGTCCCTCCTGACAATACGTCCGAAGTATTAGAGACGAAGTCTGGCCACTATGTACACTACAATATATAAAATGCTGACATTTGTTGAATTCTGGTTACTAAAACCAGAATTCAACAAATTTCTTTTACACATGGATCAAAAGTATTAAAATAAGAAATGGTATAAGGTTTGGCTAAGCTGATAATGAACCAAGAATTGGATCATAACATACAGAGTCATTGGTATTAAAGAATTTTGTTAACAAGGATGCATTTTAAACTAAACAGTGAATGTCCCGTGTATCTAACGTGTATACCTTTGACAGCTCCAGCCCAGGACCACACTGTTCGCACTGAATGCAATTTCCAGACCGATCCCGAAATTCTTGCTGTCGACAGTCGCCTGTTTCACAAATCACTTTACATGACTGGAAAAAACAAAACCGTTGAACAAAACATTACCATAAAATCTTTGTTGTTGTTGTTTTCTAGAACCACTTTACATAACTGGAAAAAAACAAAACATCATCTCAAAAGACCACCGTCTGTTGCTGTTTTTAAGAATCATTTTACGCAACTGGAAAAAATAAATACATTTAACAAAATGTTGTATTAAAATACTTCTTGTTGTTTTCAAGTATCACTCTACACAATTAGGAGAAAAAAATACGTTTAACAAAATGTTATCGTAAATTTTTTTTTTTCCCAGAAAGCAACAATATCTTTAGTGTTATTTCCATAATCACTGAAGTTAAACATTAATTCAGTGTTGTTACTAAGTGCTGTTGAGTCAATTCCGACTCACGGTGACCACGTGAGCACTGCAGAGCTGCTCCACAGGGTTTCTAAGGTCATGACCTTTCAGAAGTAGATCGCCAAGCATTTATTCTGAGGCACTGCTGGGTGACTTAAACTTTTGGCTTATAGTCAAGCGCTCCACCATTTGCACCAGCCAGGAATTCCTAAGGTGAGGTGAATTTAATTTTCACTTCAGAAAGCAAGACCACTTCCTGACAGTAGGTCTAGGGCACTGGTTGTTTAGTGGGGAAAGTTCTGGGCTGTGAACTGAAGGGTCAGCAGTCGGAATCCACCAGCGAGAGAAAGAAGAGGCATTCTTCCATCAAGATTCACAGCCTCAGAACTCCTTCAATACAGGGTCTCCATGAGTCATAATTTAATTGTTGTTGTTGTTAGGTGCCATCGAGTTGGTATCGACTCATAGCAACCTTATGCACAGCAGAATGAAACACCGCCTGATCCTGGGCCAACCTCACCACTGTTGCCACGCTTGAGTCCATCAATGCTGCTACTTGGCCAATCCATCTCGTTGGGAGTCTTCCTCTTTTTCTCTAACCCTCCACCTTACCAAACATGATCTCCTTCTCCAGCGACTGGTCCCTCCTGACAATATGTCCGAAGTATGAGAGATGAAGCTTGGCCATCCTGGCCTCCAGGGGGTGCTCTGGCTGCACTTCTTCCAATATGATTTAATAGCAGTGGCTTTATTTGGGTTCTTGTCTGTATTTCAAAGAAGATGAAGTCTCCCTTCCTCTTGGAATTCTTCACAGTCTTCCTCAGGCAAAGCATAAGAGCTGACCCTCTTCCATTGTTGGTGCCATTGAGTTGGTACCGACTCATAGTAAGATATCAAAGAGAGTGCATCTGTGGCCAGAGGTCTCCCGTTGCCTGAAAGCTTCTTAACTTTAGTCTGTTTTGACGTTGAAGAAATGTGAACAGTTTCATGCATCATGAATTGAATGAAGAAATGAATGAAAGAGAATGGAGGCATCTAGTCACAAGGATAATTATCCATAATTATCTCACTGGCACTTACTTTGCCCCCAGTTTTGATGCAGACATTTCAGGCTTCTCCAGTTGAACTAAGGAGTTCTGGTCTACATTTACTTAGAGAACATCTTTCAAAATACAATTTTGGACCAACACAAGCTCCGTCGAGTTCAGATTATGATGATTTATATCCGAGTAGAGCTGCACCGCTACACTTTCCAGCCTGTAATTGTCACAGAAGCAGATTACCAGATCTTCCTTCTTTGCCATCTCTGGGTGAGGTCACACTGTCAATCTTTATGATTAATAGTCACGTACCAACCTGTTATGCCACCCAGGAACCTCTGCTTCATAGGACAGTGTTGCTAAGTCAGTTCCGACTCAAAGTAACCCTACATAGTGTTTCTGAGGAGCAACTAATGGGTTTGAATTGTTGACCTTGTGGTTAGTGGTCCAGTGTTCATCCTATAGCACCGCACCAGGAGTCCACTGTTGTTCATAGAATATTGTTGTTGCTACGTGTCATCAAGCTGTTACCAACTCACAGCAACCAGATGCACCACAGAAAGAAAGCCTGCCGAGTCCTGCATCATTCTCACAATTGTTGCTGCATTTGAACCCAGTGCTGCTGACATGGGACCAATGCATCTATTTGCCACTGGCCCTCCGTCCACTTTACAAAGTTTGATGTCCTTCTCCAGAGAGAGGTCCCTCCTGATAATATGTATGAAGTATGAGAGATGAAGTCTGGCCATCCTGGCTTCTAAGGAGCACTCTGGCTGTACGTCTTCCAACACAGATAGGTTGGTTCTTTTGGCAGTCCATGATCCATGGGTAACAATGAGTAATTCTGTTTCTGGATAGATTTCACAGCCTTGGAAACCCTATGAGGCAGTTGTACTCCACTTTACAGGCTCATTTAGTTGAACAGGTTGACTAGCAACAGGTATGGGTTTTGGTTTGCTGTTGTTTTCTTCAATGAAAGCTGAAAATCTTAGGAAGCATGTGGCACCAACACTGCTCTGTGCACAACACCAACCACGGATTGTGATAGACCATGTGGATGCATAGTAAATGGTTGTTGTTGTTGTTGTTTAAATGGTGATAATAATGAGCAATTATCCAGAACCACTACTTTTGTGTTGGAAGAGGTGCATCCAGAATGCTCCTTAGAAGCCAGCATGGCCAGATTTCATCTCTCATACTTTGGACATATTACTGGGAGGGAAAGGACATCCTGCTTGGCACAGTGAAGGGTCAGAGAAAAAGAGGAAGACTCCGAGATGGTTTGGCACCGTGGCAGCAGCAATGGACTCAAGCTTAACAGTACTTATGAGGATGGCACAGGACCGGGCAGTGTTTGGTTCTGTTGTGAAAAGGTTTCTGTGAGTTGGTACCGACACAACAGCCACTAAACAACAACTGCTTCCACTTGAAAGCAGGAATATTTATCATACCATCTGCCAACTTCCTGCAACAAAAACATAGCTTTCATCGTGAAGGAAGGACAATTTCATCAGCAGGAAGGAGAGATCAGGTCTGTTTGAGACTGTCATTTGGGACTAAAGGTCTAGTCATTTCATCCCGTTTTTTAGCTCTTGCTTGAAGATCAATATTGGAGGAGACGGATTATGTTTAAAGGACGTAGATTTCTTTCACCGAATAGAGATCGTATCTAACACTGTGGTGTCCTTCCCACACTCCTTCTTCTAATGTTTAACCTTAATTTGACCAAAAGTCCATTTTTCTTACATCTCTCTGAATCCAAGAATCCAATTTGACTCTGATTTTTGCTTACTTCCAAGAAGGCTTTTAGTAGGCACTTCAGCAAGCCCTGGCATTACTGTAGGATTAGCACTGGACTGCTAACTGGAAGGTCGGAAGTTCATATCCACCAGCCATGCTTTGGGAGAAAGAGGAAGCTATCTGCTGCCATAAAGATTTACAACTTTGGAAACCCTATTGTGGTATTGTTAAGTGCCATTGAGTCGGTTCTGACTCACAGCGGCCCAGTGTAAGGTTTCCAAGGAGTGGCTGGTGGTTTTGAACTATCGCCCTTGCAGTTCAAAACTCCCTTGGGGTCCAGTGCTTATCCTACAGCACCACACCAGGACTCTTAAACAGGGTTTCTATGAGTCAGAATTGGCTGAATTGTGATCCGTGTGCGCAGATTAGAACTATAGGGTTTTCAATGCTCTGACCTTACAAATGAAGATTACCAGGCCTGTGTTTGGAGGTACCTTTGGATAGGTTTGAACTGACAACCTTTAGGTTAGTGAACCAGCGCTTGGCCATTTGTGGCATCCAGTGACTCCTGGTTAGGATCTGGGATGTGTTATGTGATACATACTTTTAAGTCAAAAATAATATCATTGTTAGAGAGCTACAAGTAATGTTACATACACTTCATCTAAATTGAAATAAAACAATTTTGACAAGTGTTATACATGTAAAGACTGAGCATCCATTTTTGATTCGCTAATTAGTGGCTTAGTATGATAAGCACTCTACCACAAAGTCGGTTTTAACTGAAAGGTTGGTGATTCAAACTCTTCAGCTGCTCCTCGGAAACCCTAAACATGAGTCTCTATGAGTCGGAACTAACTCAACAGTATTTAACAACAACAACAATTAATTACTAGGGGAATATGATGGCTTCCTAGGCTAAGCACTGGACTGCAAATCTCAAGGTCTGCAGTTCGAGCTCACCAGTCACTCCTTAGGAGAAGGATGAGGTTTTCTGCTCCCACAAAGATTTAAAGCCTTGGAAACCCTATCTAGGGTCATTATGAGTTAGAACTGATTCTGTGGCACTTAACAACAAAAATTAAATACAAAAATGGTGAGATGGGGTTGTGAAGAATTAAAAAGTAATATGGGAGAACGGATATGAAGCGAGGAGAGACACACAAGAATGCCCAAACTTGCAGATAGTACCAATTTGACCTAGCTTCTATGATCAGAACTCAACTATAGGAAGATAAAAAAAAATTTTGATAAAGCAAACAAGTGTAAATTCTTACAATTTGAGGAGCTTGACTTATACTTATGGATATAGTAGCTTGAAATATCAAGGATCAATCGTATCCCCTCTGTATACAGGGTTGATAGGAATGGGCAATTTAGACATTGGCTACCTCAAATGGGGTTGGGATGGGCTATAAAGGCACCAAGTGACTGGCTTACAAGTTTTCAAGAGAGAGCTTAGTTTCAGAGTGTGTGGAGAAAGGTAGAAACCCCACTGAATAGTTTTCATCTTGTCTAAACAGGTCTGGTGAAAGGAGATGGGGATCAGATTTTTATGATTCAAAAGTGATAACTTGTTATCACGACTAATTGCGATTCTCACAACTGTAAAGGTAGAAGTTTTCTAACAAAAAGGGGGCAGTAGTTAATTTTACATCCCAGTTAACAGAGGACCCTAGGACCATCAAAGGAGAAGAGCATAAGTGGAATGTGGGACCCTAACCAGAGAAGCAGCAACACCAGAGATAGAGACAGAGATGATGGCATGGAGAGAGGGAATAGCTGAGGACTCCAGACTCCTGGAAAGAGAAAGGCTGTGTGCTGGCAGCCAGGAGGCAGGCTTGCAGAATGTGCCCTTTGGTTGTTTCAATGATTATATATGCCTGAGTGCTTTTGTGTACAAAAAAACCCCCAAAAACAGAGGGAATGGGAGCAAATACTGTTGGATGATAACACAGGGAGGGGACTGTAATCATTACAATGAGTGTACAACTGATGTTCTCTCTTGTAAACCCACAAAATTCACAATAAAAACTTAAAAAAAAAAAAAAAAGTAATATGGGATCAGAGAGAGACAAGTTTTGGCATTGTTTCCATAAATTCTTTCAACCACATTCTTACACCAGAGCAGCAGTGTTTACTTACCCAGTAAGCTAAGAGGATTATGATGGTAAAAAATGTTGTCTCTTGTCCTGGTAATACTTTCAAAGCCATTGTTCTTATTAAATGTTTTTACAGCTGAAGAGTTCTAAATGGAAAATAGAAAGAACATATAATTAATGTTGAACATATCAGTAGCTACGTACAGTACTTACTATACTATACAATGTTTGTTGTTGTTGTTTGCCATCGAGTTGATTCCAACCCATAGTGACCCTGTATAGGGTTTCCGAGGAGCAGCTGGTGAGCTTGAACCACCGACCTTGCAGTTCAAATGGCTTTGCAGTCCGATGCATTAGACCACAGCACCACACCAGGAGTCCATAATGTTTGTTAGGTGCCATCAAGTCTATTTTTGAATCATAGTGACACCAGATGACAGAGCAGAACTCACCAAAGGGATTTCTAGGCTATAATCTTTATGGGCGTAGATCACCAGATCCTTCTTCCTCAGAGTCCTTCAGTTAGCATCCAAGTGCTTAGCCGTTGACCCAGCAAGACTCCTTGATATAATGTTTAAGTGTGGCCCTGTAGGATCAGAGCCACAAGGCTGGCAGTTCAAACCCATGAGCTGCTCCTTGGAAACCCTATACAGGGTTGCTGTGAGTCAGCATCTACTTGATAACACTTAACAAATCTGAGACCAAGATTTGTTAGATTCCCCACTCATCTGTCAAGGATGGTGGACGCTAAGGCACTGAGATTTTAAATAAAAACAGGGTTGCTTTGAGTCGGAACCAACTCAATGGCACGTAAACATTGTTTAAGAAAAGTATGCTTGGATTATATGATGAAGAGCATGGCATCAGGATTGGAGGAAAACTCATTAATAACCCGCAATATACAGATGATACCCCTTGCTTGCTGAATGTGAAGAGGACTTAAAATACTTAACTGATGAAGATCAGAGACCACAGCCTTTGGTAAGAGTTGCACTTCAATGTCAAAACAAAACAAAAAACCCTCAACACTGGGCCAATAAACAACATTCATAAAATGGAGAAAAGATAGACGTTGTCAAACACTTCATTTTGTTCTGATCAACCATTAACATTCATGGAAGTAGCAGCCAAGAAATCAAACGATGTATTGCATTAGGCAAATCTGATGCACGAGACCTTTTTAAAGTGTTGAAGAGCAAAGATGTCAGCTTGAGGACTAAGGTGCACCTAACCCAAGCCATGGTATTTTCAATAACCTCATGTGCATGCGAAAGCTGGACAGTGAATAAGGAAGACCATAGAAGAATTGATGGATTTGAGTTACAGTGTTGGAGGAGAATACTGAAAGTACCATGGGCTGACAAAATAACAAACAAATCTGTGTTGGAAGAAGTGCAGCCAGAGTGCTCCTTGGAAGCCAGGATGGCTAGACTTCGTCTCTCACACTTTAGACCAGTCCCTAGAGAAGGACATCATGTTCAGTAAAGTGGAGGGTCAGAGAAAAAGAAGAACCCCAATGAGATGAATGGGCACAATCAAGCGTAGCTACGATTGTGAGGTTGGCCCAGGACCCGGGGTGTTTTGTTCTGTTGTACACATGATCGCTATGAGTCGGTACTGACTTGATGGCACCTAACAACAACAACAACATGCCTGGCTCATGAAAAGTCATCTCTACTCATAAGCTAACAGTATCTGTTCATGTTGTGAATTCTTCTTCACCCAGTACAGTGCCAATAATCTTTCCTTAAAGAAAATCAAAACATCCACTCAAAAACATCTCAAAAGCATGCTCACTTAATGCAATTTGAGGTTTGATCTGAAATTTCAATAAAGGTTCAAAACAAGTCTCTTGATTTTCACCAGAAATGATCTCAAATGCAGACACAAATTCCAGTTGTTTCTTGTTACTGTTTTACAGATCCACATGCTGAGAGAAGAGGCTTACGAGGGGGCTTCAAAAAGTCTGTGGAAAAATAGAGTGAAAAGAAGTAGGAATTTGTCCACGAACTTTATGAAGCCATATATATGGTTGTTACTGTGGTGTGGTGTCATCCAGTTGGCTCCTGTTCCAAGGAGCAGCTGGTAGGTTTGAACCATTGACCTTATGGTTAGCAGTCCAGTGCTGATCCTACAGTGCCACACAAAGACTCTATCTATCTGTCTGTCTGTCTGTCTATCTATCTATCTATCTATTGTGGAAGTGGGTACTGGTGGAACTATAGGATAAGCACTGAACTGCTAACCACTAGGTTGGTGGTTCAAACCCACCAGCCGCTCCTCAGAAACCCTATACAAGGTCCATATGAGTTGCAAGCAACTTGATGGCACTTAACAAAATAACAACTACTTGTATTTATGTATGTGTGTAGGTTTATATATGTCTGCTGTTAAGTGCCATCGAGCAGATTCCCATCCATAGGGACCCTGTATAAGGTTCCCGAGAAGCAATCGGTAAGCTTAACCCATCAATGTTGCGGTTCAAACCAGCTTTGTGTGTATATATAATATGTAAATATGTATATATACATCTACATGTACATATGTATACATTGTTGTTGTTTTAAGTTAAGGGCCATGGAGTCAGTTTCAACTCATAGGGACCCTGTATAGATTTTCCAAGGAGCAGCTGGTGAATTTGAACTGTTGACCTTTTGGGTTGAAGTCCAGTGCTGATACTACAGGACCACACCAGGAGTCTCCATCCGTGTATGTATACGTGTATATATACATGTATGTACACATGCGGAGTCCTGATATGGCTCTGCAGAGTAATACACTCGACCACAAGATTGGTTTGAACCAAAAGGTAGCCAGTTCAAACTCACCTGGCACTCCTTGACGGGGTTACTATGAGTAAGAACCAACTCCACAGCACTAAACAACAACAATACGTTGTTATGTCCTGTGGCCTCAGTTCCAACTCATAAGGAACCTGTATAGAGTTTCCGAGGTTCATTTTACTTTTTAAAGGTTAAAACTCATCTGTCAGGTCGGAAACAACAGCTCAGTTTCCCGGTAAAGCCAAACCGTCCCAAACTCACAGAGACCCAGAGCAGATAACTTGGCAATTTAGAAACCAGAGCTGCGAATCGCTGGTCAAAAAGCTCAAGAAAATCTAGTTCTTGGGTCTCATGGCAAAAGGCTATAAGCCACACACCCTTTTTCCTCCTTTTATTCCAGATTCATCTGCTTCCTCTGTTGCTTCTCATGGAGAGAAACGAATTGTTGTGCCTTGGATGGGCGCTTGAAAGCTTTTAAGACCCCAAGCATTATACAACGAACTAGGAAATAGAGCACATTATTAGATCAATTAACTGAGATGCTCATGAAACCATGACTCTGAACTTCCAAACGAGGAAACCAGCTCCCCTGAGGTGCTTGGTTGTATATGAGCAGCCTCCGCATCTTGTCTTTATTTATTCATTATGTTGATATTTCAATGCTTAATAACAGGTATACAACATATTGACAGCAATTACATTAGTTGCTTGAGTGATCCTATGATTAAGTCGCAGGAATTTGCCATCACTATAAACCGAAACTCGGCGCTCCGTAAGCAATAACTGTCCCGTTTCCCCATCTCTTCTGCTCCTGGTAACCACTTATAAACTTTGGTGTCTATATTTTAAAAAAACACACAAAAAATCAACAAAAACAGTAATAACAAGAAAGGATACAGTGCCGGGCAGCCTGTAGTTCTAACTGCTGGTCAAGCAAATGCAGGGATGTAGGGGTGAGGGGTGGCGGCGCCTGCAGACAGCACCAAAGCCTACGCTTCCAGGTCCCACACAGCTGGGCAGGAAAAATCTTCTTGAGTTTGTTGAATTAATGACCCATTAGAGTGAATCCAAACAGCTTTTTTAAAATGTTTCCAGTTTCTGGGTCACTGCCTTTTTTTTTTTCCTCCCTTGCATATTTCAAAGTCATCCCATAATTACTCAACCATGCCACTGACTGCTTGTGTACAAACAGGCTTGGGGTCAGAAGATAAAATCCCCTTCTTCTTCAAAGGTATGCTTCAGGATACTTCCTTTTTGACATGCGCTTATAAAGAAGCAAATTAGCATGATAGCTGAATAACGTTTGCTTGTTTATAAACGTAAAAACCTTCGAATTTATACAGAACTGGAACAAATATGGAAAAAAAGAATATAGCCCCAAAGCACTATGTGTGCCTGGGAGATGCAAGTGGTTAATGGTCTTGGCTGCTAGCTACAAGCTCGTGGGTTCCAGCCTACCCAGAGGCAACTCAAAAGAAAAGTCTGTTCATCTACTTGTGAAAAATTAGCCATTGGAAATCCTTTGGAATGAGCTCTACTCTGCCATAGGTTGCAGTAGGCCTAATTGGTTTTACCAAAACATTTACATAAGGAAAAAGACAGATAGTCAATGCACACCGTAACTGAGCAAGTATTACGGTCAAGTGATGTGTGCTGCGCAGGGCCGACAAATACTTCAGTGCGGTTTTCAAATATGACATGCATATTCAATTACATGTTGTCGAAGTATGACTTTGACTTCATATGTAGACTTATTTTGCAAACAAAAATTAATATACCAAAAGAGTAACAATGCTAGGAGATCAGACGATGGCAAGATGAGCGTAAATTCCACATCCCCCCTTTAAAAAAAAATCTCCTTGCATGCCTATTTCTTTAATTATTATAATCAAATGCATATCCTATTTGTAAAGCAAAAAAATGAGTGACATGAGTGACAGACAGGGTCTTTGTTCCTTGAAAATGGTTTATATTAAAAGAGCTGACAAGAAACGAAACAAGAAAAAACCCATCATGAAACACACAAGCACTGCTGAAGAAAACATGGGGCCCTGATGGCTTAGTCAGCGTAGCAATGACATCAAGCACTATGATTTCTGTTTCATATGAACTTGTTGTTAGGTGCCTTCAAGTCGGATCTGACTCATGGTGACCCTGTGCACAGCAGAATGAAACACCATCCTCACAACTGTTAAGACTTGAGCCCACTGCTGCTGACACTGTGTCTAATCCATCTTACCGGGAGTCTTTCTCTTTTTCACTGACCCTACACTTTATCGGAAGGAGCTCTGGTAGCATAGTGGTTACGAATCAGGCTGCGAATCCTAAG